TAAAATATAATTAGAATAATTATCGAGTTCCAACAAAATAAATAATTATTATCTTTATAAAAAAATTTATATTATTAAACCAAATATAAATTACTTTATTATTGTATATAAATTAAATTATAAAAGAATTGAATTAAAAATGACACAAAAAAATGAGGAATTTCAAATAGTTAATGTGAAACTAAGATCGATATATTTTTGTCAAATTTTTATGATATCTTCAAACATATATTTTATTTAAAAATAAAAACATCATCCTTTCTCAAAATCACATAAAGCCATATTATAACATCGACTGAGATAAAAAATAAAATGAAATATTAAAATCACAATGTATCTCGCTACATTGCGCGAGTACGCTTCTAGTATATATATATATACACACACACACACACACATATAGAGTCTGGTTCAAATGTTAACCAAGTTTATTGTGTTAACTTTGTTAATCATTTTCAACCAATGACAATTCATCTTATATATAGGTTCATATTCATCTTATAATTTAATGACAACTGAACGTTGAATAACTGAGATATCGTTATTGATCGACTTAGTGTGATGGTCGGGTAACACAACTGAACCGGCCAAGTAAAATGATTGGTGTATAACTGAAGATGAGTATAGAGATATCCACATGATACATGTATTACATTATGCGTTTTTGTTGTGTCTTTCTTGATACTACTGACGTCCTGGTACCTGATCTATACGCATTCCTAAACTTTTTCATTCATAACATACTTGCATTGTTAAATTTTTGCATGCTTTTAAAAAAACTTTAACACATGGTATGTAAACATTGATCATGTATGAAATAAAGTACATACACTATTGCATGCATTTGAGTTTTAGATCACATATTCTAGTCAAACATGTACCACTACATACATGTGCCATGCAAAAATCCAATCACTTAATACATAAATATATGCTTATTAATCCTATATTTAGGAGCCGTTTACGTTACCCAAATACTTACCCGGTAAGTGCTTATTAATAGAAATTAACACTATAATTTATTTTGATGTGTAAGATTTTAGTACATCAAAACATATCGAATGCAACAATTTACTGGGTAAGATTTGTCATCCTCACTTACCAGGTAAGACTATTCATCATTCTCATCGTTCTTACCCGGTAAGATTCTTGGCCATTCTCATGTTCATCAAATGAGGAAATTTATGACGTTAAACACTTACCAAGTAAGTATTTAGTAAACGGCCCCTAGTTCGATGATATGTAATTACTTCTATGTATAATAAAAAAACAATAATATTCAAACTTTTATACAAGGTGGGACAACATGGGACAAAAGAGGTTTTTTTCCACGAAAATAGGTGGAACAAGATGAGACAAGAATGAGACAGAAACTAAAATATTACTAATCTACCCTAGTTTGATATATAACCTTAATATGATATTTGTTTTAAGGATCATCACCGCTAGTTTCGGCCGCCATAAACTAAAATATGATATTTACTTTATTTTTGTTAATTATAATTATTATATAATATTTAAAATCATCAAATAATTTTTGGGGGTAGCTTGTCTAATTCTGTCTCGTCCAGTCCTAGTCGTACCAAACACCAGACATACTCATGTTATATCAAGTCATGTCCCGTCCAATCCTACCCTCTTGTCCTGTTTTATACTGTCATGTCCAGTTCTGTCTTGTCCAATTATGTATGCGTACCAAACGTTACCTAGATGTCGTTTCATGTAAAACCGGTTGAGCTTGTCGGTAATCAACTTTTTTACCTGAATAATTAACATTTATTTTGAAACGGAAAAATGGTTTAATGTTTTACAAGAAGTTTTGTTTTGTCTTAAAAAAAATAACGTAAAAGGAAAGAAGTTATATTATAGCATGTGTTTCCCCATTGTGAATTGACTGGTTCATCTCCGACTATATATCCTGCACCATTTTTGCTGCAGCAAACAACCTTTCTCAATCTCATCACCACTTCTATTTTCAATTTTCAAACGATTTCACGATCGAATTTTACGTTTCATTCTAAATTCAAACCTATATGATCATGAGATCTTCCAAACTCCGGTGACCCACCATCACAACCACCGCGCGCCACCACCGCCTTCAGGTAAAACAATGGATAACCTCTCCAGGTACCGTGGCAAAATCTGGTTGGTCCTTTGCTTGTTCTTCGTTTGTTGGTATTTCGTGATTCACAATGTTAAATGGTACAAATTCTCTCCTCCGACCACCGTTTTCCGCCGTCCCGTCGACGATATAGATTCAACCACGACGTATCTCGCCGCCGCAAGATCCGGCAATGACGATGAGAAACAAGGCGGCGGTGGCGGCGGCAGCGATGAGAAGACGAATCTTGTGTCGATCGATGGCGAGATTGATTGGGTCCACGACGAGGCTCAAGTGCGAGCTCTCGAGAAGGAATTGGAACCTGTGCTTCAGAAATTCAAACCAAAACCGATGGAGAAGAAGAAACAGGCGGTGATCGATAAAGAATTCGAGGATGAAAGGAAACCGAAACCAAAGGAGAGGAGAGTGAACGAGACATTGATCGATAGAGTAGCGGAACAAATGGGGGGAACGCTAACGAGACGATCAGCGTGTTCCGGCCGGTATATTTACGTTCACAAACTTCCGTCGAGATTCAACGATGACATCCTCGAAGATTGTCGATCGTTTAACAAATGGCAGGATATGTGCCCTTCTATCGATAACATGGGTCTCGGTCCAAAACTCGGCAATCCTCAACGGGTTTTCTCCAAATCGGGTTGGTATTCGACGAATCAATTTCTACTCGAAGTCATTTTCCGCAATCGAATGAAGCAATACGAGTGTCTCACCAACGATTCATCGATTGCGTCCGCCGTTTACGTGCCGTATTACGCCGGTCTCGATGTTTCCCGATACCTGTTTGATCACAACACCTCGTCTCGAGATGCACTTTCGCTTGACTTGGCCGAATGGTTGCATGGAAGACCGGAGTGGAAGACGAGATCCGGCAAGGATCACTTCCTCGTGGCCGGAAGAATCATTTGGGATTTCAGGCGGGAGATCGACGACGATGATGCATGGGGAAACAAACTAATGGTGTTACCGGAGCTAAAAAACATGACGATTTTAACAATCGAAAAAAGCCCGTGGCATAACGATGATTTTGGGATACCGTACCCGACATATTTCCACCCACGAAACGACAACGAAATCGTCGAATGGCAAAACAAGATAAAGAGACAAAAAAGACGCTCGTTGTTCTGTTTCGCGGGGGCCCCACGTCCGAAAATGGAAGATTCGATCCGGAACGAGATCATCGAGCAATGCGTTGCATCCCCCCGAAAATGCCGACTGCTACAATGTTCGTACGGGAATCTGAGATGTCAACAACCCGTTGACGTGATGAAACTCTTTCAAAGTTCCATCTTCTGCTTACAACCTCCGGGTGATTCATACACCCGAAGGTCAACTTTTGATTCCATTCTAGCCGGTTGCATTCCAGTGTTTTTCAACCCCGGATCGGCTTACATTCAGTATCTATGGCACTTACCACGAGAATTCGAGAAATACTCGGTTTTTATCGACGAGGACGACGTGAAAGTGAAAAACGTGAGCATCGACAAGATTTTATCGCGGATTTCGACTAAGAAGGTGTCGGAGATGCGAGAAAAAATAATCGAGTTGATCCCGAACCTCGTTTACGCGGATCCGAGGTCGAAATTAGAGAAATTTAACGATGCGTTTGATTTGAGTGTGAAAGGGGTTTTGAAACGAATGGATTATCTTTCGAAAAATACGTCGAGTTTGGATTTTGATCAGAAATTTAGTTGGAAGTATTTGTTGTTTGGAAGTGTACAAAACCATAAATGGGATCGGTATTTCCGGTACTCTATGAATCACAAAGTCAAAAAGCAAACGGAAATGTTTTAACCGTTTTGGGAGTTGTACATATTAATGATTTGTTTATTATCGTTTTTTTTTTTCAGAATTATGTAACTTAGGTTATCTTTAATTTTATGATTCCGGATGGTTTAATTAAATACTGTGTTTATAATTTTATCGTATATTCGTTACAGTTATTTGGGTTCGGGGGTTTCTAAACAAACTTCTTCTTACTTTTACTATACCGCCCTCCATCCTCTCGGCTCTTGCCGCCATTGCCACTGCCACTGCCACCACCATGGCAGTCGTCTTCCTTCTTTCTCGGTATATAGGGGTAAATAGTGATAATAAAACGTGATTGTTTTGCAAACCTAACTACATAACTACATGAGCGATCCTTATGATGATTTTGAAAAAAATATAAATATGTATCTTTTTCTTTTTTGATTTTATGGTTTTGTTTTGTCTGTTATTGACATGATAAGTTATTAGGATTTAACGTTACTCCCATGATAAATATATCAGATTAAATCTGATCTCTCCCTCTCTTTTTATCTATACTATTTTATAAAGCAAATTTAGCAAAAGTTTTAAAGTATTAAAATGCTAAATGAACAACATACCTTTTATACTACCCTTACCTTACTTCATTTTTTCATCCTCTTCTCTCCTCATATGCACTCACTCTCTCACAACCGATTTTTTTAAAATTATAATTTTAAACTTACACTTTATACCTCTATAATTAGTTAATTAATTTACTTTACGTTCTTTACTTTTAAATGTTTCATTTCAAATCTTTATCAAATTAACATACATAATCGTATATCAATTAAAACATGTTTAAAAAAAATATTTTTATTTTAACAAGTTACACCATTATAATCGTCTCGTTAATACCTTCAAAATGAGTCCAATATTGAATAAATTTTTACTTAATTATATTATTTATATATTATATATAATGTGAAAAAATATTTTTTATATTTACGATTTATACTTTTATATTTATTTATTTATATATATATTATATATTTTGGGGTTAGGCTGTCCAAATTGCACTGTATAATATGTTCTGAATTAATATGTTCTTGGGTTTTTTTGAATATATATATACATGTATTAATTCAACCTTAATTTGAGTTTTTGGACAAGAAATAGGGTAAGCAGTTTAAATTTCATTCTAAAACCCATCTTTTTTGGTATTTTTATGGCTTATGATCTGTCAAATCTGTAGTTTTCTTTATTGGTTTTGAGTGTTTATCTAAAAACTCAAGTTTCTTGGTTCTTTGCTCTTGGTGTAAATCGAACACATTTGTGGAGTCGTTTAATTATGTTGGATTTTAAATATATTGGATTTTAAAATGTTATACAATTTTTTTCATCAATAGTCTGTAATTGGAACCATAACTCTTATTTATTCAAATTGTATTAATATGTAAAGACCAATTGTAATCTATATCATTGTTAAATCTTATCTTATAAAACCAGTGGAACTTCAAAATCGTTAAAATTCATGGCTCCCGCCACATTGTGCAGGTACACAACTAGTATTATATATATATATACTAGAAGCGTACTCGCACAATGCAGCGAGATACATCATGATTTTAATATTTCATTTTATTCCTTATCTCAGTCGATGTTATAATATGACTTTATGTGATTTTGAGAAAGCGATGATATTTTTATTTTTGAATAAAATATATGTTTGAAGATATCATAA